TTGCAAGGTCTGGCTGGATTACATTTATGAAAATTAGGCTGGTCCTAATTTAATGAAGTAATTCTTACAATGGCACTCTCTGAACAGCTTCAACAGACTCTTCACAATGTTTTTTGTTCTGGTCTTTGGGTTGACACACACATTTCACATTAAAACTGGCTCATCTTGTGAACACAGACCCCCGTCTCCTTCCTGAGTGACATGATGGCTGAAAGTTTTACAATTGTTACTTCCACCAAGGGCGAGGTAATGTTTTTGGTCACGTATGTCTGTCCGTCTGTCTGTCGTTCTGTCATTCTGTCGTTCTGTCTGTGGACAACGTTACTCAAAAACTTGAGGACGGATTGTCATGACGTTTTTTACCATAWGCGGATACTGGCTCAAGTACCACACCTTTAAATTTTGGTGATGTTCCGGATCACGATGCGGATACAGGATTTTTTTTTCTTTTAACACTCTGAGATCGGCAAAGCAGTGATGCTGTCACAGGGCGTGGGTTTCAAAGTGTTGGTGTGCCCCTTTGTAACTCCATTACAGGATGGGGGRAAAATGGTCTTGGTGGAGGTTTGCACTCTCCGAGTGCTTCTAGTTTTACTGATAAAATCTTACTGGTCACTCTCCTTAGCCTCCCCGGTAAGGTCTATTTAGCTGGAGAAGAGAGTCCAACCAATGGTCGAACCTCAAATTCAGGAGAAACAATTCAGGTTCTGTTATGGCCGTGGAACACTGGACCAACTCTTTATCCTCACTAGGGTCCTCAAGAGGTCATGGAAGTTTGCTCATCCAGTCTACATGCGTTGTGTGGACTTGGAAAAGGCATTTGACCGGGTTCCTTGAATTTCTTCAGTCCCTACAAATGTTGGTTCACATTGCCTGACCCCTTTAGGGTGGGAGATGGACTCTGCCAGGGCTGCTTGTTGTCACAGACTCTGGTTCAGTGGCCTCAGGAATCCATCTCCGTTGTTTGCAGATGATGTAGTTGTTTTGGCGTCGTCATGTTGTGATCTCCAGCTCTCACCGGAGCAGCTCACAGCAGAGTGTGAAGCAGCTGGGATGAGGATCAGCACCTCCAAATCTGAGTCCATGGTCCTCAGCTGGAAATGGGTAGATTGTTCTCTCTGGGTTGGAGGTGAGGTTCTGCCTCAAGTGGAGGAGTTCGAGTATCTTGGGGTTTTGTTCATGAGGGCRTGAAGAATGGAGCGTGAGATTGATAGACATTTCGGTGCAGCTTCTGCTGTATTGCAGACTCTGTACCGGTCTGTTGTGTCTCAGAGGAGCAGAATGTGAGCTCTCTGTTTACTGGTCAGTCTACATTCCTACCCTCACTTTTGGTCACAAACTTTTSGTAGCGACTGAAAGAACAAGATTGGTCAAAATGAGTTTTCTCTGCAGGATAGCTGGAYTGTTTACAGACAGGGTGAGAAGTTCAGTTCTCCAGGAGAGATTCAGAGTAGAGCTGCTGCTCCTCCACATCAAGAGGAGCCAGTTGAGGTGGTTCATCTGGTAAGGACGCCTCCCTAGAAAGGTGCTTCAGTCATGTCTGACTGGGAGGAGAACCCAAAGACCCAGGACACGCTGGAGAGACTATCTCTCTCGGCTGGCCTGGGAATCCCTTGAAACCCTCCGATAGAGTTTTATTGGATTTATTAAACTTCTTAAGGTGTTTCAAATAAAGTCTTGAGGTACGTGACAAATTTATTATTCATCATGGC